GTGAGACACTGACTAGTAAGCAGACCCAAGGAGCAGGTGCAGGCCTTTCTCCACAGCTCTTGACTCACGGGGATGTTTATAAGGTTACCAAGTCTAAAATTGTAGGTGAGCAGCAGCTTGCTTCAAAGTATTATCTTGGCAATTGCAGTTCTGCTTTTCCTAAAAATGCAGTAGTTGCAGTGCCAGCTGACATCCTCACACATCCCCAGGGCAGGGTTTAGGTGAGCTGACCTGGTGCATGTAATGTCACAGATAAAAGGGGTTTGTGGCTGCACAGTGACCTCTGTGTCCGTTCGAAGAAGTGCAGCAGCCATCAAGTGAAACAGAGCTGTGGGTGTACAGCCAAGGAAGATGCCAAGGATTTTCAGAGACTCAGCTGCAACAGGAGGAATTGTAAATATTGAAAAAGAGTAAGTACACCTGCATTCATTCTGCGTGCAAGAGGGGTTGTTGCTGAACCGAAGACCTTTCTTATATTCTAAAAATTGATGCCTTTGTTTGGGGTATCTTCATCTATCTAGTCCAGTCTAACATAGTCTGTTATTTGTGAATAGATCACACCAGATAAGTTACACTGATGATAAAAGCTCAACTCTTTCAAATACTAATCTTGGCATCTGGGTTTCTGGCTTTGTACACTGTGTAGATCTTAAGTATACTAAGATCTTAAGTATGAATTTTGGCTCGAGATCCAAAACACTCCAAGGATTGCCAAGAACTGAAAGGCTGGCTATATTGTGTAACCTAGACTCACCTGAAAGAATCAGACTGATGGCATCGTTTTTGGAGTTCAATTCCCAATTAATAAGAAGGTTTAACACCTAGTGATCAATCTTGATTGCCCTGAAATACACTGGGGAAAGAACTTGATCAAAACCAGTTAAAGCGACTGTTTCCACCTGTGTGGATAGTACAAGGGGATACAAAGTTACAGACCCTATTTCAGTCCCAAATTCCAGCCAGGAATTACAAGGGTTAGAAGAACACATCGGTGCCATCCCTTATGTCATAGCCCAGCATCACCGCTCTTCCTCCAGCCTCACTTCTCATTTATTTCCACTGGTTGCATTTTGCAGGAGACTTAGCTGCAGGCATGATCTCCTCCCTTTTCTTACAGCTCGATGGGAGTTGCCACAGTGGGCTGAAAATGTACTATTTACTTAGGGAAAGAATGGCATAGTGTCAGCTGTCATCTGGCATCTTAATCCAAGACACAATTAGTTGAGCACAGTCATATCCAGATGCTAATACTTGATGAAAGTAACACTGCAATAATTCACAAGTAGCTGAGGTGTGGCTTCCATGAGAAAGGCTTCTCATGAGACTCTGCACACACCTGCCTAGAAAATCCTCCTCAAACACTATTAAAAGACTCATCTATAAAAGCACAGGATTTCCCTCAGTCCTCGGGGACTTACACATCCCCAAAGATGAAGTGCGCTGTCAGGAAAACCTGTCACATCATTTTGGATGTCAGTCAGCACCTAAAAAGTTGGAGGGAAGGAGGTACCACCGTTTTAACCTATCACTCTGGAACATATTAACTCTAGCTAGATGCAAGAAGTGCTTGAAGAGGCTGCCTGCACAGAAAGCCAACTAAAATATTGCTAACTTAGTCCTGGGATTTATTCAGTTGTCTGAGTTTAAATCAGTTTTAGAAGCAACTCAAGTGAAAAGGATGCAAAACCTTTTCAACACTCCTAGTCTCATTTAAAGCTTGTTGAGCTTGAAACTGATTTAGCTTAACTCCACATCAAACTGGTGTTCACACAGGAGTCTATTTAACAGATGCATTTTTAAATAATATCTCACATTTCACAATTCCAACTCTTAACATAGACCTACAGGCAAAACAACCTGAAGGTCCATCTACCTTCACATTGTGCTAAAGGATTTCTGCCCTGACTCCAGTAAAAGGATGAAATGATAAATTTGTAAGAGGTTTCCACACTGCTGTAGAAATATTCATTTTTCTAGAACAGTCTCTTCAAAATAAAACAAAATTGAAACACACCTACTAACTGGATGTTTTTAGCTGCACATTACACTATGTTGAAGGAGCCAAATGTTCCCCTGTCACTCAACCCACTGCCAAAGACGTAAGTTGCTCTTTTTCTACTGTGGTTTGTAAAAAGAGGGGCTATCTTTTATCAGGTCAGATGTCATTGAGGAAAAAAAAGACAGATAAGCTTTTGGGCAGAAGCCCCTTCTTCAGGCCTGAAACAGCAGCAGTATTCTTGAAGGTGAAAAACAGCAGAGAATGACTTATATATTTCATTAGATTATGTAAGCAGGTAGACCATCTGAAAAAAAAAGGGCACTGATATCTGGAGCAAAGGAAGGAAGAGCAGGGGAGGAGATAAAACAGGAGCTCTTCTGGCACACACAAAGAAAGCAATGAGTAATTTACTGCCTGAGGATGGTGAGGGACTGGGAATTGTATCCTGTGCCCTGTTGTCTCTGTCAAGTCCAGGATCATTAGCAGCACTAAGCGTTTTAGGTCCCATGTTGTCTTTTGAAGGTATTTTAGCAATGTCCCCTAAGAATCAGGGTTCAAGTGAGGTCTGGATTTATTTCAACTGTGACGGGCTGCTGCAGAAAAGTATGTCCAAAGGGGGAAAAAAGGTCTAGGAATTACTGTCCTTCCGCCTTTCATCTCGACCCTGACTGCTGGGCTAAATCTCACTTATTCTTGGAAAAATATACGTGCCCCAAAAATTAACCACCCCTTTCACAAGTGCAGAAGTGGTGTCTCTGAACATACCTAACTTGATTTATGTGAGGGAGTAATAACAGAAAGAGTCTAATGGCTTCTTAATTATTTGCCCATTTGAAAAGCATCACTTATTTGGAGAAGGTGCAGCACTCAGTACAGCAAATGAATGTCCATGTCCCAGTGTCACTGCCTTTGTAAGGGGTCTGCAGCCCCTTAGCAGTGTGTGAGCAGGGCTCACATTGTGGCAGTCTGTCCAGATGATGGAGATCAGGAGGAGGAGGCAGCAGCTGGAGGTGGCCAGGACAGCAGACACACACAGGCTGCCTATGGAGGTGACACCCGAGCGCTGGTGAGACACAGGCAGCAGCGCTTCCCCAGAGTGTCTGGGAAAGACTGGGAGCGCTTCTCCTTGGAAAGTGTGTATTTGTAGGGATAGCTACCATTTCGGAAGAGTTTGTGATGGAAAGCTAGAACTTGATTTCACTTAGGAAGACTGTAAAATGCCTTCTCAAACGGGTTAGATGTGAGGTTTTTTCCTTCCTTCTGCATTTCAGAGAAAGTTGCAGGGATAAGCTGTGAGCAATCTCTCTCTCTCCCTGGTATGCAGAGAGATAACATGTTTGCAGACATGTACAAGGCCTCCTCGGGCCAGAGAGGGTGGGGGAGGAGAGAGAAAAGATACAAAAAGCCTTGGAGAAGGCGGGGCATTGCCTTTTTCCCTGGGGGCTGGTATGTGCAACATCGTTAAGAAGTGGTCCTTGCATCTGAAATAAACCTTTTTTTAATCCTTCCACTGCCTTGGCATTCTTGTTTTACTTTACAGTATTTATGAGCATGCCTATGTAAAATGGGAAACTAGTTTGGAATATGGGGGTACAAAGATGTTTTATAATACCACAGAAAGAAAAGAGAGTAATTCTCTCCCTGGAAAAAAAATTGAGGAAAAAGAGCGGATGCATAGATATGCCCAAAAGCTGTTTCCCTCTTGCACCAACTGGCAGAAAGAAAATGTAAATGTGATCGGCCCAGCTCAGTGACTGTGTAATAAGAAATGGGCCAGGGATGAGACATCCCAGAAACATCACAAGAAGCTAGACAAAAAGAAAACTGTTACTGAGAGGTTAAAAGATTAGAAGAAAGAGGAAAATTGGTGTTGAAGCCCATGAAATGCAAGGACAGGTGATGAGGGAGAGGCACCAGCCCTGCTCTGGCGCGGGGCAGGACTGGCTGCTCTCCGGAGTTCCCTGCCAGCCCTGACCCCTTCTGACTTTGGAAGGATGAAACCCTCTTTCCCATTTTGCAAGTTGAATATGAGTCAGCAGTGCCCTGGCAGCCAGGAGGGCCAACCATGTCCTGGGGGGCATCAGGCAAAGTATCGCCAGCCGGTTGAGGGAGGGGATTGTCTGCTCTGCTCTGCTCTCTACTGGGGCAGTCTCACCTTTAGTATTATGTGCAGTTTTGGGCACTGCAATGTAAGAAAGATATTAGGCTGTTAGAGAGGGTCCAAAAGAGGGCAATGAGGATGGCAAAGGGCCTTGAGGGGAAGCCGTATGAGGAGTGGCTGAGGTCACTTGGTCTGTTCAGCCTGGAGGAGACTGAGGGGAGACCTCATTGCAGCCTACAACTTCCTCATGAGGGGAAGAGGAGGGGTAAGCACTGAGCTCTTCTCTGTGGTGACCAGTGACAGGACCCGAGGGAATGGCCTCCCTCAGGGGAGGTTTAGGTTGGACATTAGAAAAAGGGTTCTTCACCCAGAGGGTAGTTGGGCACTGGAACAGGCTCCTCAGGGAAGTGGTCACAGCATCAAGCTTGAGACTTCAAGAAGCATTTGGACGATGATCACAGGCACATGGTGGGATTCTTGGGGATGGTCCTGTGCAGGGCTAAGGGTTGGACTCCGATGATCCTGATGGGTCCCTTCCAACTTAGCATATTCTGTAATTCTATGATTTTTTGCGATGAGGTCTCACAGAGCTCCCCTGCCCTCCTTGGCACACCCTGCCAGGCACGGCACCCCTTTTTGGAAGGGTCCTCACCTGCTCCGCCACCGCAAGACGCGGCGAAGGATTCGGAGCTCCCCTGGGCGGCACCGAAGCAGAGGTGGGGAATTCCACACCAGCCTCCTCTGTGGAGCGGAGGCGCTGCGGAGGAGCGGGCGAGCTGGATGTCGCGGAGTTCTCCTGGCCGGCGCTGCGGGAGCGCTCGGGGCCGTGTCCCCCTCCCAGGGCGGTCCCGGGAGCGGCCGCGCGGGGGCGCCGCCCGCGGAGGGGGCGGGGCCATGCGCAGTGCGCGTGCGCGGTGACGCGCGGGGCCGTGCCCGCTATATGAGCCCCAGCAGGCGCTGACTCGGCCTTTTCCGCCCCGCTCCCGCCCCGCGCCCGGGTCGCTGCGCTGAGACCCCGCGCCCCCGCCGCCCCCCGCCGCCGCCATGATCATCTACCGGGACTGCATCAGCCGTAAGGGCGCGGGGGGGGCGGGAGGGGCGCGGCGCGGCCGGGAGCGACGGCCGGGCGGGTGCGCGGCGTGGGGGGGGGAGAGCGGGCCGGGCCCAGGCGCCGGGCCTGGCGGTGCCGCCGCGCATGTGCGATGCGGGGCCAGGCGGGGGGGGCGCGGGGGCGGGAGCGGGGCGGGCGGGGGCGCGGGCAGGCGGGGGCTGACCCTGTGTGTGCATGTCTGCGTGTCCCCGCAGAGGACGAGATGTTCTCGGACATCTACAAGATCCGGGAGGTGGCGGACGGCCTGTGCCTGGAAGTGGAGGGGAAGGTGAGTGCCCGCCCGCCCCGACGGAGGGAGGAAGGGAGGGAGCGGGGCAGGGATGCTGCGGTGACTCAGGGCCGGTGGGGAGTGGGGGTGACGTCCCTGCGAGGGGCCCGAGGGAGGGGTGACCCACCGCGGCCCGGTGCCTGTGCCGGGGCAAGGCTGGCTGCTACCCCGCGTGGTGCCTGAGAGAGCCCGGGTCAACCGGGCTGGAGTGTAATGAAACCTGGGTCAGGCACCAGGAGAGGCACCCGGCATGGCAGTTACGGAATCATAGAATGGGTTGGGTTGGAAAGGACGTTAAGGACCATGTAGTTCCACCCCCCTGCCATGGGCAGGGACACCTTTTGCTCGACCAGGTTGCTCAAAGCCCCATCCAACCTGGCCTTGAACACTTCTGGGGATGGGGCATTCATAGCTTCTGTGGGCAACCTGTATCAGTGCCTTAGCACCCTCACAGTAAAGAATTTCTTCCTAGTGTCTAATCTAAACCTGTCTTTCAATTTGAACCTGTTCCCCCTTTTCCTGTCACTGGGAAATTAGTGCTTTGGCTGCAGTCAGGTTCCTTGCACTGATCTGTGGCTCTGGAGTAATGTCCTGCTCTCAAGTCGTAGGTGTGTAAGAGTGGTAGCATTAAGGTTTTTTGCAGAGCCGTTAAGTTTTTTGATGTCTCTAAATCCAGATGGTCACCAGGACAGAGGGTCAAATTGATGACTCTCTAATTGGTGGCAATGCCTCTGCTGAAGGTCCAGAGGGAGATGGAACAGAAGCCACGGTCATAACTGGTGTTGATATAGTAATTAACCACCACCTTCAGGAGACCAGCTTCACAAAAGAATCCTACAAGAAGTACATCAAGGATTACATGAAAGCGTAAGTGTTGATAGGCTTTTCCTTTGAATGGGATTGCAGAGTTTTTGCGTGATTGAGATTTTGAAAACAGCATTGGACATATTCCTAGTAGGTGTTAGTTCTGATACAGGTGTGAAACTGGCTGTAAACTTCAGCAATGTCTGAATACTTGGCAGAACTGGAGCTCCAGAGATTGATGCTGGAATATCTATGTTTATCTTGGCTGAGGTAGAGGACCTGATCACATGCTTTAGATCTAGTTTGTAACCATGCTGTTTTCTTCTGTATTTTTTTTTTAATGCCAAACCTTCCTGTGGATGGGAGTGAGGTGGTAAAGAAAAGCTTTCTGAAGCTTTTCTAAGTTGGCAAATATCTAAAAAATGTGTGTGAATGGGACTTTTTGCTAATTCAAGATGTACTTTCTGTTGATCTCTGTTCAGTGGATTGCTACTAAAGGTGAAAACGCTTTGTGACACTGATAGAAAGTACTCTTGGTGCTGTGGAAATGACTTGCTGATTTTTGTCTACCACTAGCCTAGAAGTAAAATGACCCTGATATGAGTGGCAGGCACTGTTCTGCTATTTCACTAGCAAAATTAAATTAAAATTTGGGGGCTTTGAAAGGGATTGGGGGGAAAGCAAAATTAAAGTTTGATAGTAACTGTTTCTGCGATGATGTGACTTTACACAGTGAAGTTAAAGTAGAACATGTTTTCAGAGTTTTGATATTTTTTTTTTCCCCCTTCCAGAATCAAAGCCAGACTTGAGGAACACAAGCCAGAGAGAGTAAAGCCTTTCATGACAGGGGCTGCAGAACAAATCAAACACATCCTTGCCAACTTCAAAAACTACCAGGTAACTTGTGTCTCCTTACTGTAGTATTGCAGTGTTACAAGCTGGTTCACCTACTGAACTGGCTTGTTGAGAATTTTGAGTTCTCCTGTTGTGAGGATGTCTAACTTGCTCTTCTCTGAGACTTAGGGAGGAGAAACAGCAAAAGGGTGTTAGGTGTTTGGGGATCTCATTTCAGCTCATAGTGCTTGTAGTTAGCTGTGTTTGTTGTCATTGTGGTTTAGGGATTGTGGAGTTAAAAGACTTGAAATGTGGATCACTTTGGCCCTTGCTGAGTCTTACACTGTTCATAGCAGTGTGGTAAAATTATAGAATCACAGAATGGTTTGAGTTGGAAAGGATCATCTAATTCCAGTCACCATGTAGGGACACCTTTCCCTAGACTAGGTTGCTCATAACCCCATCCAACCTGCCCTTGAACATTTCCAGGGATGGGGCATCCACAGCTTCTCTGGACAACCTGGGTCTATGCCTCCCACCTTATACTTAAGAATTTCTTTGTAATATTTAATCTAAATTTGCCCTCTTTCAGTTTAAAGCCATTCTCCCTTGTCCTATTGCAATGTGGCTTTGTAAAAAGTCCCTCTCCAGACTTTCTGTAGCCCCCTTTAGGGTACTGGAATGCTGCTCTAAAGTCTGCCTGGAACCTTCTCTTCTCCAGGCTGAACAACCCCAGTTCTGTTAGCCTGTCTTCACAGGAGTGGTGCTCCAGCCTTCATCTTTGTGGCTGTCCTGGACTTGCTCCAACAAGTCCCCATCCTTCTTGGGATTCCAGCTCCAGAGCTGGATGCAGCACTCCAGGTGGGGTCTCACCAGAGCAGAGGGGCAGAATCACTTCCCTCAACCTGCTAGCCATGCTCCTTTTGGTGCAGCCCAGGATACAGTTGAATTCCTGGGCTGTAAGCGCATATTGCTGGATCATGTTGAGCTTTCTGTCAGCAGTACCCCAGGTCTTTCTCCTCAGAGCTTCTGTCAGTCCATTCTCTGCCCAGCCTGTGTTTGTGCTCAGGTTTGCCCTGACCCAGGTGTACAACCTTGCACTTGGCATTGTTGAACTTGATGAGGTTCCTATGAGCTCACCTCTCAAGCCTGTTCCTTTGGATTGCATCCTTTCCCTCCTGTGGTACTGAAATGGGCAAGCTGTGGAGAGTAAAATCCCTGCAGCTGGTCAGGGAGACTTTTAACCTGAACTTGGTGACTTTGTATTGTTCTTGTATAAAAATGCATTTTCTCCTGGTAATGGCTGATTAAATGTCTCAGTAACACATTGCTTTGAAGTTCTTTGTAGGAGAGAACATGAATCCAGATGGTATGGTGGCTCTCCTGGACTTCCGTGAGGATGGTGTAACCCCATATATGATTTTCTTTAAGGACGGCTTAGAAATCGAGAAGTGTGTAAGTACTGCTCTGAATTGGGTGAATGTGCCTAACTACGTGATGAGCTCCTTCAGTGCAGCACTTGTTCTCTCTTATCCCTGTGTAAGTTGAACCGTAGCTGTCAGTTTAAAAACTTAGAAGTCTGTGTAAGTACAGCCTATTTGGTGCTTCGTGTTATGCAAAGTGCCTGAAACTTCCCTTGAATGCTATTAACTTGTACTAAACGGGGGGATGTAGTGTCACAGCAGTGATTCATGGTGACTTAATGGCTAAGGAATGCAGAAGGAATTGTCCTGGCAAGATGCGTGTAATTGGGAATAGTTTTAAACTATTAGATGAAAGACAATGTGCTCTGAAATGAAGCAGTTGTAGTTCAGATCCCTCTGGTGGGGTTTAATTGTGCACTGCTTTGCGTGGTCACGTTCCATCTTCTTTCACTTAATCTGATGCCTGTATTTTTTTATGCAAGAACTGTCAGTTTAAATGTTGCCCTAAATTTTGGAACACAGTAATACTTGACCAAGTATTTAACCATATTCTCTCTGGAATCTCCAGCTTACCTGAGCTCAAGACAGCTCCTGTGGTCTGCTTTAACTACTCTATATTGGAATGTGGTTGCAACAAAACAGTATTTGGATCCCAACACTCATTTCTTTTGCTTATTGGGAGAGTTGTGGAATTAAGTGCCGTGTGGGATCACCAGTTGCTTTGCCCAGTCATTGTGGACTTATGAAGTCTGTTAATAGCCAGCTAAATTTATCTGTAAAGCCTCTTAAAAACTTTCTGGTATGCAAATCATGTAAAGATGAGCCAGCTTGTAGTGTGGAGCAGTAGGCAAACTAAGGAATGCTTTTATTGGCCAAAACAGACCTGGCACCTCCTGCAGCCTGATGGGATGGTGATGCCTGTCCTGGACCCTAGAACAGGCCAGACCTGGAAGGCACATCCTTGGGAGCAGGAGCTTGTGTGCATCTTCTCTACAGGGGCACACCTTTTGGATGTGCAATTTGGGTAGCCTATGTCTGCTTCAAGATGGAGCAAAAGAATATCGACGGGGTATTCCAGTTTTAAGAGAGTAGATTGTATGCTTTGGTACTTGTTTAGGAAAGGGTATGAATGAGTATTCTGTCCAACTTGCTCAGCAGCTGATTGGTGCTAGGTGCTCTGTATGACTGTAAAAGTGATCAGCATCCTCTGATAGACCATGGGCACTTTTCCTGTTGCTCTCTGGTTTGCACTAAGATGCAAAAACAATTTCCTTGCGCTTTCTGCCTGCCTGACTGTGGCAGCCCAGATTGAATTAGGGAAAACACAAGTTGTAGGAATTTACTGTGACTGTCGTGACCCTTGAGCTAACACTTGCTACTCTTGTTTCAGTAACAAATCAAACAGTATGGTTTTGGATCACTTGTCTTCATAGCTGGCTGCTGTTTCTTCTTCATCGGCACACCACCAGGAATCGGCAATGTCTAACAACTGGACTGATGTCATCTTGAGCTTTATTCACTTATTTTGACCCTGATTTGGAGTGGAGGCATTGTTTTGAAAAACGAAAAAAACATCTATCATGTAGGTTGTCTAAAATAAAACTCATTTAAACCCATTCTAGGTAATGTCTTTTGGTCTGATGTGTTTCTTGAGGTGACTCACAGGAGAGGTCACGCCAGGGATTTGGTACTGTCAGTAGCATAGCCTGGTGCTAGTGTGCTACAACTGGACTGTTTCCAGACAGATTTCACAGTTTGCCTGTGGCTCTGGAGTGCAAGAGAAGTCAATAAGGCAAAGTCCAAGAAATGTCATAATGGAGTGAACCACCTTCATCTTTCATGATTGCACAGACTTATCTCTGGAAAAAAAAAAAAAAAGAAAAAATAATAAAATCCCAGAACGGAATATGTGCTATTCAAACTGAGTGCTGGCTGAACTTCTTTGTCAGACAAGAATACTGGAGTTTGTCCTCAGTTCTGGTATGGCTCCACTATCAAGGTAGGAGGATGACTGGAGGGAGCAGGAGTCTTAACACCAGCACTCTCTGAGTCTAGGTACTGGGAACGTTGTGGGGAGAGGGTGAAATGACTAGGTTTTCCAAAACAGCCTGGCCGTGGTACTGGTTCCTTTGTATTTGACAGCTGTTGAAGGGACCATGTTAACTGGAGCTCTGCTGAGTTGCAGGATTTGAGGGGTTTCTGTATTTGACCTGGAGAGAGCTGTTGGAATGGCCTAGTGTAGACTTCCTCCAAACCAGATGCATCTCTGTGCTTGAGACCTGAGTGCTTATAAAATACTGTTCCTGCTGTGTTCCTTCTTAGGAAATGCATCTGTTTGACAGACCTGGAGCAAACGGCCGTTGCTTCTCTGGTTCTTTCTGAGATGCAACAGTAACAGGTTCCTTGCGCTTTCTACCTGTCCAACCCTGTGGCAGTTTAGATTGAATAAAGGAACACAAATGCCTTCATAGCCCCAGCTGTCACTGCTGACTGCGTGCCTGACCAGGGATGTTGCCTTGGACTGCAAATGATTAACTTTTTTCCTACTGCAGCAATGGCAGAGGCATAGGAGGTTAAGGTGCCTGAAAGGGGAGGGCATAGCCCACTCACCAGCTGTGAGTTTTTGCATCTTCGCTATCTTGTGTCAGTTTTTGGCCCCTGGTACTGCAGGGTGGAGGTACATTTCTGCAGAGGTGAGATAGATGTGGCAGCAGGCTGGGAGGAGTGAGAGACTGGAGGAGGGAGTGGAGTGTGCCCTAGTTATCTCTGAGGTTCCTGTCTGGTTAAATAAACCCTATTTTAGTTCTGTGGGAACTTAATTTTTTTTTTTTTTTTTTAGCTTTCCCAAGAAAGGATCTTGGGCCAGCTGAGCTTCTGGATGAGGTACAATTATGCTGTAACCTGCCTTCACCCAATGGGGCTGAAAGGCAGGGAGGCAGGTTCAAAGCCTAGATAAAATCACTGGGTTGTCTCTTGCTTTCCTTGCAGAGGATTTGTTTAATGGGACCAGGTGAGGATGTTATCTTACCTTTCCTGTTGCATCTTTGTTAAAAACTGGGAGGATTAAAGGAAAGGGAGAGGAAACAGGTGCTTAGTTGAGCTGAAGTTAGTGTGGGCAGGGCAGTGCTGGTATGGCTGTGCAGCCCCTAATAGCCCGGGCTCCCATTTCCAGTGAATCATAAGTTTAAAACTGTGAGGGGCTGACATGTGGGAGTGGAAATGGCTCCTCCCCCTTCCTGGCTCATTATACCGAGGCTGGGAGCCCTGGGCACCACCCCGGAGCAAATTGCTACGTGGCACCTGTGTACAGCTGAGGTGCTGCTTTAAAGCAGGTGCTTCAAACCATGATGAGCACGGCCTTGCTGTTTGGTTGAATGGCAAATTGTGTGTCATCCTATCTGTCCTCCAGGCTAATTGGGGTATTTAATTGGTGTGGGCAAACATACCTAACTAGAGGGTTCTGTGCTCCAAGAAGTCTTGTGTGCTTTTCTGCACAGCAGAGCCTCTGATGGAAAGTGTCCTCCCAGCCTGCTGTAAGGAAGTGTCAGTTCAAAGGCTGTGGAGATGAAGGACTTGGTTATGTTTGTTTTCTTCAGTGAGCTGCAAGAGGAGTGGTTTTGCTGCTTGTTGCACTTGCTGCACTTCTCAAAAATGTATTGCTGCCTTCAGTTTCTCAGGGAAAAGGGCAAGTCCTGCTGTTCTGTGGTGTCAAGTCTGTCAATCATCCGGGAGAAGAGGTTAAACTACAATCAGTGGCAGGGAAGGATCATGGCCATGACAAGTAGCTGTGGCAGTAACAAGCAGCTGTCACAGCCACAGTGCTGTGGTAGCTGCTTGCTGTGGAGCCTGGGTGAGGGAGGGTTGGGAGTCACTACATCCTGGTAAGTGGGAGGTCCGTGGCCAGTAAATGCACTTGTCAACAGTCTGTGACGCAACTCTGAGTTGGAAAGGAAATCAGTGTATTTCCTCATAACCCAGTTCCTCTTCTGACCCATCTTCATTTCAAGCAGCTGTTTCCTGGGGCTGAAAAGCTGAGGTGATTTGGGAAGACAAAGCTTCATACTTCACACAACAGCCTTGGAGTTATTTGATTGCTAAAAATCCCCAATGATTACAAATTACCCTGGTGCTGCTTAAACGCAAGCCTGAACTGAAGGACAGCTTTAAAACCTATGCCTGTCTTGTTTTAAAATGTGCTTATCAGGGTTGTATCTTTCATTCCTGGAAAGATTTTCAGTGGCTGGAAGGGCTGTGGAACTGGGAAGGATCCAAATAGCTTTTTCCCCTGTGCCTCATGGAGCACGTTAAGCAGTTAGGTAGAAACCTTTCTCCTGCTGGCTCACGTCTCCTGCACCCACTATGAGCTGGATGCTGACAGGGGAACAAAGGCTGATTGCTTATGAAGAGGGGAAAAAAACCTCGCCTTTTTACTTTCATGGTTTTGTGGTGCTTGGTTAAGGGAGTGATGTCTTGGGGCTGGAGGAAGCAGCTGCTCTGCTTGGCATGTGTCCCACCTTTTGCCCTCCCACCCCACTGTTCCCCCTCACTGCCTGCTTTTGTCTCACAGTTGTTCTGTCCCATCTGGGTCTTACCCCATCTACAAATCCACTCTCTTTGCCCTCTGAAAGCAAAGAAAAACTCCCATTTCCCATGAGGCAGTAACAATGATGTTAATAACTGAATGCTGCTGCAGCAGCTTGTTTCTCCTTGGCTGCCTGCTTTGAGGAGAAAAGTGTGCAGCAGACCTGGGGATGTTCATGCAGTGGAAGGAATATCTGGGTGTGTGGAAGAGGCACTGGTGGCCCCATTGCCCCTTCTTGGGTACCCAGCTGAGCCAGCCCCACTCCATCCCTTGGCTTTGCCCACTCAGCATGGGCTGGGGGTGGATGCTAAAGCCTAAGTGGGTGATGGTCCTGGAGCTTTGTGCAGCCCTCAGTTGAGAACAAGGATGGAGAACCTGCAAAAGGGAAATTTTAACTGAAAGTAAGTAGGAAACATGGGTTTCTTTGGTTTGGGGGGCTTTTTTTGTGGAATTTTTTTTTAAATTGGTTTAGCTCATGGCCAGGAGGGAATTAACATAAGCTTAGAACATGATTGTTGTCAGAGAAATAAAATTGGACTAATTTTTTTAAAAATGGGTAAGAAAAAAATTAAAAAGCTGTAATTTGCTTTTTTTCCCTTAGCAAGTTTCTGGCTGTTGTCAGCCTGCTGCAGTCCTGGCAGTGTTTTCAGTGACAGCCCTTTAGGGAGGATGCTTTTATTTAAGAGCAATAGTATCTGTGTCAAGATAGTTCTGCTTTCTCACACGCTGCTGCTGGCTTGGACCAGGTAAGACACCTCCCTCTGCTCCTGTGAACCTCCATCTATGCTTCAGCTCTGTAGCCACTTCTCTGGCTTGTGGCCAGGGAATTAAAAGCTGGGATGTTTAGCCCTGGCTCAGCCAGCCATGAAATCTCTTTTGCTGCTAGCCCACAGTGGGAGAGCAGCAGTTTAACACTGTATTCATTTAGCTCAGAGAAAAATGTCTTGGTGGGACGAGAAAAAAGCCCCTAACCAAGCCTGAAAGTTTTTTGCCATGAACAGTACAAAATCCACTGCCAAGAGCATGCCAATAGCCGTGCTGGTTTGCAGTCTCTGTGTGTTGGCCGCCTTTTGGTTGAAGCTGCAGCTGGAAGCTGTTGTGCAAAGATCGCAGCCAAGTGGCTGTGGCCAGGGCTGGTGGCCTGAGAGAGCTTTTTTTTGGGTGCCAGCAAATGCTGGCAGCCCTGCAAGTGTGTTCTGCAGGAATGCACAGGATGCTGTTGAGGATGGGCATAGCTGCTTGGTGTTTTGATCCATTAGAGCTGCATTCATCGCCTTCCACTTCAGCAGAAAGGAGCCAAACACCCTTGGAGGCCTTTTTAAGACTATTTTGGTTGTGTGATGCTAACCTTGCCAGAGGCAGCAGCTGGATGGTGATAAAAATGCTGAGCAATTGTTCCTCTGCGGGCCTCCCTTTATCTTGGGAGCTAACAGCAGGGATTCACCTCCCCATTTCTGTGGCCAGCAGCATCAGGAAGAAGCACTACTGGCACTTTGGAGAGCAGCCCACTTTCTTCCTATCCTCAGCTAGGTGCTGGCATGCTGGAAGCCCTGCCAAAGCGTGCAGCCGTTTATTTTTTTTTTTTTTGATACGGAATGTCCATAAAAGTAGATGCCCAGAAAGGTTTTAAAGATTAGCTTCTCAAAATCTTTGTTACAGACTAGTTGAGAAACAGCCCTGTAAAGCTGGATGTTCCCTCCCTGCTCACCATGGATGCTTAGCCAGCAAAACCCCACTTGCTATCGGAATAGTCTGGTTCAAGGGCTGAGATCTACCTCCTCTACATGAGCCAGGCCCCTCCAGTCAAGGCAGGGAGGGATGATTCGCTGCCCCTGCAGCTGAGTGGTTTCTGTAGGCTGCAGTCATAGAACTGCCTGCAGCTGCTGGTGCTTCCTCACACTGCCCACAGAAAGGGGTTTCATGGAGTCAGGGCAGCCCTTCTCACATCGGCTTCAGATGCCCTAGCCCGGCAGCTGCTTCCTGGCAGCATGTGACACACCTGTTGTGGTTGGCCTAAGAGTGCTTTAACTCCCATAAACCA